GTCACGTGACCTCGCTGACGCAACAATATAAACAAACATCCTGTATTTTACAATTTCGAAACATTTTAAATAAAAACTATCACTGGTATTCTGGATTACGAAACACTGTAAGTAAAAATGTACATCCGATATTTTCCAGTTTGAAATGCTAATTTTGACTTGAGAACTTGAATTAAGTTGAAAGGGTTGAATAAACTTTTGAAAACTTTGTTATTATAAACGAATGGATTTTTTAATGACCAGAATGACGTGCAGTGACTAACATGAACAGTAAGCTGTAAAAAAATATATCATACTTTAGAACAACAGTTCTGGCCACACAAGTCACCTCTGGACTGCTGTGGTTTATACACGTAAACAAAAGATACAATAGTAGAGGCCAAGTAGCCAAAGTTGATCAGCAAGGACAAGTGATCTATCTGTCTCATATACTGTGGCTGGTGCTGTTTAACACATTCTCCTAGCAACCAGAAAAAAACTAAGTTAAGGGCGAAACTTCGACAGGCCAAATAACCAAAGTTGACCATGCTACCCCTCAATACCCTGGCAAAAGAAAAGTTACCCGACTACCTTCCCTGTTGTGTGTTTTACTGTATAACAAATTTAAAAGAAGTATAAGGCTATAACATTAACAGTGTCTTCATTTTCAGGCGTAACTTCTTGAAGAATTTTATGTCTTTTTTTTTTTTCAGCAGTGACAGTGATGGAGTCATTCTTAAAAACCCGAATATTGCATCCATGAAGGAAGACGTTTTGTATCACATCTCACTCAGCAGTGGGACTCATGATTTAAAGGAAATGTTTGGAGACATTAGGGTAAGCATGAAACACAAAACAGAGGAATTTATTATTTGAAGAAAATGTTCGGAAACACAATAGTCGCTTTAATTAAAAGAAACGAGTTTCATCTATAACTATAAAATCATGTTCACAAAGTTTTAGAGATATTTTCACTAGATTTTATCAAATATTTTAGATTATATGCTACACCATCACATTAGTAAATCATGTTCACTAGGCTTTACAAGTATTTTAGATTATATGTATATACCTTTAGAACACTTGAGAAATATATAGTGCTAGATCACTTGAGAAGTTTGTATTGTTAGATCATTTAAAAAGCATGTACTGTAAATCACTTGAGAAGTATGTACTATTAGACCACCTGAGGTACATAATGTTAGATCACCTGAGAAATATGTAGTGTTAAATCACCTGAGAAGTATGTAGTTTTCTTTGTTTCTTGTTCACTGAACATTCTTTTTTTCTGTAATGGATTATAAGAAGCTCTCTGATACAACACAAAGTTTGTAAGTTCTAATCAGTTTCTCTGCTACTTACAGTTTGTGTGTATGGGAGGAACACCAAAACGTATGGAAGGGTTTGCTCACTTCATCCAGAAAGAGTTGAACATCAAGTTACCAACTGGTACAGTACTGGAAGACATTAGCAGACATTCTTACCGATACTCCATGTTCAAGATTGGACCAGTTCTTTCGATTAGTGTAAGTACTGGAAGACATTGTCAAATAATCCAACTGGTACTCCATGTTCTTTAAAAATTAGTTCACAACAACATATTTTTTAAATTATAAAAGTCTTGCAAGCTTATGAAAAATCCTTGTGGTTACAAACTAAGTCAAGTTTTGTGTGCACCTTAAAAATCATTATAACAAGACTTACAAGATAATAGGTTTAAGAAATACATAAAGTTTTGATTCTAAAGTATTCTACAAGCTCACACATTGAAGTTGTGGTTAAAGCTCATCAGATTAATTAACCCTAACAAGTTTTGAATTTATCATTGTTTGTGTACTGACTATATTCATGTTTCCATGATGTTCATATTCTTTTGTAGTGATTATGTTCTTGCTTAAAAACCTTTGATTAACGTTATTCATCTTTTCTCAGCATGGAATGGGGATTCCATCTGTATCCATTATGCTACATGAGGTGATCAAGTTGATATACCATGCCCAGTGCAAGGATGTGACCTTCATTCGTATAGGAACATGTGGTGGCATAGGTAAAGCTTTCTTAGTCCTTAAGCCTTGCAAGGTAATGGTATAGGTAAAGCTGTCTGTGTTGTTAAGCCTTAACAGAATATGTAGTATAGAAAGTAGAGTTGTCTGTATTGTTAAGCCTTAACAGGAATGTCTGGGGGTATAGGTGTAAAGCTGTTTGGTTCCATATTAAGAGTAAAACATGTGGTAGTAAAAATGAGGGAAAGGCTGTAAGTTTTAAGAAAATTTGTATCAGATATTCAAATTTGTTAAATCAATAAATTAAAATTGTATTTACACATTTTGAATCATCATATTAGCATTTGAACTGGTTTATTAAATTGAGCTTTTGATATGTAAGTTAATAGTTTCTCCTTCCTGTATTATAAATTATTTTTCTAGCAAGTTATTTCTTTTAAGTTTGTGTTCTTTGCAGCTGAATAATAAAATCATCTTGGAGATAAAAGTTGCACCTACTTTGACTAAGTTTTTTTTAGAGAAATAATCTCTCAAAAAATTTCTTTTTCATATCATTATCACACACATATGCCAATAACAGGTTGGGTTTTAAAGACAATGTTATGATAATAATGCATTTCCTAATTTTAGATTTAAAGGAGAGATCAGTGATATTTGCAGGTATTTCTATAATGATCACACATCTGTAATGTAATTTTAAATCTGAAGCAAGCTTTGAATCAACAGAATTAAGATTTTATTCTTCTCCGTCAACTGCAAACCTTTTCTTTTTTTTCCTGCAATTTCTGGTGATAATTTGATAGACTATCTCAAGACTCGAGCAATATCAGTCATATATTGTTTCATTGAACTCCATACTAGGGTGCAAACTGTTTTATGTTTTCAGAAATTGAAAACTTGATGAAATATATGTAGATACTTACTGGTTTACATGAAATTACTAATTTCTATGGTTAAGTCTGAATACAGAGTTTTTGTTTGTCACTAGGACTACCAGGTGGTAGCCTTGTTATAACTGAAGAGGCAGTTGATGGATTGATGCATCCGTACTTAGAACTGGTGAGTTTGTAGTTTTGAAAGTTAGATCTTTCATAGTTGTTTCTCTTCTTTTTCTTTCACTAATTAGTAATCTTTAATATAATTCATGTTGAACTTCTGAGGTGTTGCTGTTGCTTAGAGCTATGCAGAATAAAACACCAGGTCAGGCAATGACAAAATAGGTAACCTGAATTCTTGCTGATACATTTAGAGCAGACTAGTGGAAGAAACTGAATTATTGACAGATGGAGTGTAATGTACTGTATGATATTTAAAAACAACAGCTCTGACTTTTAGGTCATTCTTAGAAACTTCATAACTTTTAGATCATTCCTAGAGAGGTCATAACTCATAGATCATTCCTAGAGAGGTCATAACTCTTAGATCATTCCTAGAGAGGTCATTACATATAGGTCATTCCTAGACAAGTCATGAGTTTTGGATCATTCTTAGAAAGGTCATTATTAGGAAAGCCATGACTGTTAGATCATTCCTAGACAGGTCATTAAATTTAGGTCATTCCTAGACAGGTCATTACATTTAGGTCATTCCTAGACAAGTCATGAGTTTTGGATCATTCTTAGAAAGGTCATGGCTTTTAGGTCATTATTAGGAAAGCCATGACTGTTAGATCATTCCTAGAAAGGTCATGACTTTTAGATCATTTCTCAAAAAGGTCATGACTTTCAGGTCATTCTTAGAAAGGTCATAACTTTTAGGTTATTTTTCAAGTAGAAGTTCATTTTACAACACAATGTTTTCTGCCCAAATTATTGTATTAAAATATTTATAGAAACTGATGAACATACCCTTGTTTTACGTTAGTAATCTCCGAGATTACTGAATGATCTAACAGTCATGGCTTTTAGGTCATTATTAAGAAAGCCATGACTGTTAGATCATTCAGTAATCTCCGAGATTTTAATTTTGTAAAATTCTTCTATTCATCTATCCATCCATAAATCTATCTTATGTTTTTATTGATACAGTAGGCTATAAGAAAAGTAGGCTACACAATTCTACTTGAAAACTCACTCTCATAATATTAGAAATTAATGTTTCTCGTCTCTTTACAGCACGTGCTCGGAAAAATGGTTCAACGACCCGCCATTCTGGATTCAGAAGTTGCTAAAGAAATTAAATCTCTAGCAAATGAGAAATTTCCTCATTACAAAACGGTGCTAGGAAGAACAATGTGCACGTATGATTTTTATGAAGGTAAATTTTATTGACAAACTGTGTTTAATAAAATACCTTTTTGTACATAATTTCAAGAATTCTTATTTGTGATAATGAAAATCAACTTTTATCAAGATGTCAACTGTCACGGTAATGATATTTTCTCAGAACAAACATACTAAGGAACTTTTTCTTTCCTCAAGTTCAATTTTGATATGATAATATCAAACCTTCTCTTCAGTGTCAGATGATCAATTTTAACTTTTGATACAATAATGACAAGCTATCTCTTCTGAACAGGGCAGATCAGCTTATCTGTTTCTCTCCTCAAGTTAAATATTGGTAGGGTAACGACAAACCTTGATTATCAACAGGTCAGGGTTGCATCATCCATTTCTCTCCTCAAGTTAAATATTGGTAGGGTAACGACAAACCTTGATTATCAACAGGTCAGGGTTGCATCATCCATTTCTCTCCTCAAGTTAAATATTGGTAGGGTAACGACAAACCTTGATTATCAACAGGTCAGGGTTGCATCATCCA